TCTTTCAACAACCAAGCTATTTCTTGTATGACGTCCACGCTAAGACAGCTCCAAAAGTCCCCTCAATAAGTTTGCGAAACTCAGCACAAAACATCACTTTAAAACGCGATTATCTGCCAAGGAGTGTTTCTCTATTTCTCTACAACCTAGAAAATGAACCATTGTAATTTTAGTCTATTTTTTTAATAACAAAACCCCTATGCTTGAGTTTGTGTGAGGGGTTTTTTTTTTTTTTTTTTTTTTTTTCTATAATATGTCATTTAATAACGCCTTTATTTATAATGTTTGTTCTGCCTAGATTAGCACTATGGCTACTTGCAGGGCATAAAATATTGTAAGCTTATGGATCTTAAATAAAATACATTGTTGTTGGTGATCATGAAAAAAAGTACCGTTTATTGTAACGGTAAACTCGTAGAAAGTGAAAAAAATTTCTGTGTAACAGGGGCACCCAACGAGAATATAGTTCAAAACCACTTAAACATAGCATTGTTAAACGTGTTTTAGTATTTAAACGGTGGATATAGGCATATTTTTATCCCCTATAAATTTTCCATCTGTTCGGATTTCCTAGCTGAAAGTCTAGTGATCCGAAAATTTTAGGGATCAAAACTTACCTGTTTAAAAATTTCAGCCAGAAAAAAAGCCTCCCGAAAATTCTAGGTGACCTTTTTAGGGTAAAAATCCGTTGAAAATGGGCAATTTTACCATTTTTTAGATGTTCGAAAATCCTAAGAGGCAGGCAAGCAAGAAATTTTACAACAAATGTTCCGAAAATTCTAGACCTCAAATCGTCTTCCGAACAGATATTTTTCCGAAAATTGTCGTTGGGTGCCCCTCGTGTAACTCGATGTAAAAGCAGTCTAGAAGTGTTGAGACTACCAAGAATGTCTTCATCGCTTGAAAAATTTAAAAAGGGTATTTTCCGCGATGTTTACATTCTGCGGGTTCCCCACCCCGTCATACCCCCTCTTGAGCCAATCAAAGAGCGCTTTCTGCGACATGTACCGCCGGGACCAAATATCGCTGTCACTACAATATGGCTGCTAGCTTCCTGGTAATTTCTACTCTTTCAATTATTGAAATCATGCTCCTGGAACGAAATGTAGACTCATTCACAGATTTGAATCAAGCCTTCTTTTTTGTGCGAGGAAGTTTTTGAACTGAATGAATGGAATCGGAACCGGAATTGATGCAATTCCCAATGGTAAGAGCTGTAAATTTCCGCTTCACGGAGCGTTATCAAATGGCACTACATTGTATCACTTTAATAAGACGGTTATTGGCAGCTCGAGATCTAACTACCTTTACAATCATTGCTAGCTTTTACACTGTCGAATTAATATTATACAGGAACATGTGCAGCCATTTTGAAACCGGTATTTTGTTCGTAGGGACCAGGTAATGAAATTGACGCCCGTAAATTAATCCTTCCGGAATGATTTTCAAGCGGTATTCAGTCTGGAAGGGGTGAATACCACCCAGAAATAACCCTGACTATGACCTGAAACTAAAACTTTGATCTATGCGGGTTTTTACGTGCATAAAACTTGTCCAACGCTGACCGCCAACATTATAGTTTCTCAGCCATGATTTCAAACGGGGAAAGATTTTATGGACCCCCGAAAATAAACCAACACAATGTTAACGTAAAACTTTGAGTGGAATTTATTACCTCATTTTCAGTATCTGACACTTGTTAACAGTGGTAAGGTAGGTGGAAGAAAATGAAATTTCCACAGAACAGCTGCTTTGTGCGAATCTCATAGATCATCTTAAGAACAATACAAGTATCTGCTAAATAATGCAGCTCTGTGGCTTGTCAAGGTGTATGTCTCTTTGTAATAAACAAGAGACGCGCATATCGAAGAACCTACATCGCCCAAAACTCCACTTTGAATTATTTATTTTCTGATGAATTTGTAACTAGTCAACTTTCTATTTCACTGGGCCAAGTAAGATCACTCTAGTACTGTGACCAAAACAAAAGGCTTCTTATGATGCATAGTAGATTAATGTACATACAGCAATCAAATTATTTTCTCAGAGTAAATGTGAGCCTTGCAGGTAAATGCACGTCAACTAAGCCACTGGAGAAAAGAGAAAACCCCAAACCCTAGCCTTGAACATCAGGATTTAAAACAACTTAAGGTGAGTGTGCTTATCATTTAGCTGCCCGGACCACATTCCTCAGGTGCATTTTGTGCAGTACAATTTGCAAACTTTGTTCCAAGTGCAAAACAACTCAAAATGTTCGAATGTTTAAGGTCTTAAACCTACTCTCTCTGCTCAAACACCTCTCGGTTAACTCTCTGCTCTTCAGGGTCCTCTGACTGAAAATACCATGCCCATTTGCTCTCGCTGTCCGGAATACACCTTTGACGCATGAAGATAAGAGCAGAAAGCTGGCTGTGGTGATCTTGGTGGTAACCAATAGCAGTGGCAAACTTGGACAAGTTACACCACACATCTCCCCATCCTCTCTCCAGCTGCAGGTGTTTCAACCGTGGACAGATCATGACGACGGAGAAGCCAACATTTGCCAAAAATCGAAGTCTGCTTTTGGAACAGCAGAGCAATTCACAGAATGTTCTGACAAGAACCTGCCTTCGTTCTTCAGCGACATCACCAGAGTTCAAGCACTGGGCAATAAATGGTGCTAAATCCAGCATAACAGCAAGCCGTGTGTTACGTACTTCGCCAAGTGCCGCCAATGTGACTTTGTCAAGCTTATTCATCAGTGCACACACCTTGCAATCAGCATTCAGACATCTTCCTGTGACCCTGGCGACATCCGCACCCTCGTCTGTGCTGATGCAGTAAGGACAATTTTGATCATTGT